GGAGGAAGTTTCCTGGTTTCCTTCCCGTCCACCTTCTACGAAGACGAGAAGCCAGATGAGAAGTGGATCCTCTTTGATGGCCCGGTGGACACGCTGTGGATCGAGAGCATGAACTCTGTCATGGATGATAACAAAGTGCTGACGCTCATCAACGGAGAGCGCATCGCCATGCCCGAGCAGGTAGCCACGCCCCAGCAGGTAGCCACGCCCCAGCAGGTAGCCACGCCCCAGCAGGTACGGGGCGGCAGGCACCCAGGACCCTGCAGAGAGAAGGGGGGATGTCGGGCTGGGAGAGCGGCTCCTGAATTCTCAGAGGGAGCAGAGGAGGAGGCTGGGTTCGGGGAAAGCTGCGATGGGGAAGAAAGGCTTTGCCTGTCGTGGATGTGGGGAGACTGTCCAGAAAAAGCCGCGCATCGGGAATCACGGGCAGGCTCAGGCTGTCTCGGCCTTGTCTCCCTGACGGACGAGGCGTGGCCTGTCCGCACACCAGGGTGACGAATTCCTGTTCCCTGCACTTCAACAACGTGAGCAAGCGTGATTTCTCATAAGGATAAGCTTGAAAACTCGAATTTCTTTTCCTTTTTTTTTTTTTTTTTTGGGGGTTTTTTTTCAGGCACTTGGCCTGGACAGACAGACAGAGACAGAGAGACAGAAAGTGAGAAATCACCCCCCAGAGGAGATGGCCACGCCACAATCCCTTCTCCTCCATTCTCCTCTCGGGATCTTGGGCACGCACGCACACGCGCCTGGACACGCGCCCGGTGTGAGTTCTAAGCCACCGGGACGTGAACCGCGGTCGACTATGTGGGAATCCAGCGACATAGCCATTACGCTAACTGCTGGTTCCTGGACTTCTTATAAAAATCAAACTATTTGTAAGCCTCAAGTCTTCATTGTCTCTACCGTGCTATACTTGCTAGAGATCCTTGGGACATCAGAGTTCTGGGGTGTTTGTCACCTTGGATGGCAGTGGGGAGGGGAAGATGCAGACCTGACGAGAGTATCCCCTCAGGTGTCCCTCGTGTTCGAGGTGGAAAACCTGGCAGTGGCCTCGCCAGCCACCGTCTCTCGCTGCGGGATGGTCTACACTGACTATGTTGACCTGGGCTGGAAGCCCTACGTTCAGTCGTGGTTGGAGAAGAGGCCAAAGGTATGATGGGAGTCAGGAGAGGGAGAGTAACCAGGGTGGCCTGCGGGACACAGGAGCGAGTGAAGAGGCCCTTCTTATCCAAACCCAGGCTGAGGCAGAGCCCCTTCAACGGATGTTCGAAAAGCTTATCAACAAGATCCTGACCTTCAAGAAGGACAACTGCAACGAGCTGGTGCCCCTCCCTGAGTACAGTGGGATCATGTCCCTCTGCAAGCTGTACTCGGCCCTGGCCACGCCAGAGAATGGGGTAAGGCGAGGGCCGAGACCAGGGCGGGGGCAGGAAGGGCTCGCCACCCCACGGGGATGGCTTCAAGGGAAGGGTGCGTCCAAGACAGTCCGGGCCTCAGTAGAGGGGAGGCCGCCATGGGAAGGCCTCAGTGGCCATGGAGGGGTGTGTGTGTTTATTGAGCTGGAAGGCCAGACTGGAGATTATAAATGGAATATATCATACGATGGGGTCTCACTGCAATCCCCCCCAAATGAGGGGACTTCAAAATGTTCATGGAAAATGGAATTAAAGGGGCAAATTTATTCTGATGTGAAAATATTTGAAACCCTGGGGGCCAGTAGGTAGTATGGTGGTTAAGGCAACTGGATTCCTGCACGGCCAACCATGGTTCAAGTCCCAGACCTGGTAGCTTGAAAACAATGTTGAGCATGTGTCTGTGTGTGTTCAAAATCCCAAGAGAAGAATGGAGGAGAGTGTGGCCATCCCTCCAAAGGGTGATTTCTCATGTTTTTTCTCTCTGTCCATCTCTCTCTGGCAAGCACATGTGCTCTGTGGCAAAAAAAAAAAAAAAAAAAAAAAAAAACCTTGAAAGAAAATGTTAGAAATCTGTGTATAGCTTTTTCATAACATACACTTTCCATGAATTTTTTGAAGACCTTGTATGTTTCGGAAGCTTAGGGGTAGCTCACTTGGTTTCTCATGTTTCTGTCCTTGCAAAATATAAATACTGGGGCCAGCAGATGGCTAATGGCTACATCCTTGAACTCCCATGTAGTCAACCACGGTTCGAGTTCCAGACCTGGCAGCTGGAAATTCAAGACGGGCACATGTGTGTGCCTACCCAGATTCCTGGAAAGAGAACGGAAGAGAAGGAATTGCTGCATGGCCATCCCCTCTGGGGGGTTATTTCTCACTTTCTCTCTCTTGTTCTCTGTCTCTCTGGCAAGCACATATACCTTATCACAAAAATCTCTCAAAATATATGGGACCAGCTGTTAGTGTAATGGCTATGTCGCTGGACTCCCACATAGTCGACCGTGGTTCACGCCCTGGACCCGGTGGCTTAAACTCACGCCAGGAGCATGTGTGTGCGTGCCCAAGGTCCCAAGAGGAGAAAGGAGGAGAAGGGATTGTGGCGTGGCCATCCCTCCTGGGGGGTGATTTCTCACTTTCTGTCTCTCTGTCTCTCTGTTTTCCTGGCGAGCGCACGTGCCCTATAGCAAAAAAACTCTAAAAAATATATATATATGTATATATTCAATCTTGGTAAATATGAGGCCTTAGGTTCCTGCTTCTCCTGGAAGGAGCTCTTCACCTAATCTGACGAGGGGTTTTAGTACATTTTAGATGAATTGATAGTCATGAAAAATTTTATTCAGTATGGAATTGTGGGGTAATGATCAAAATTTGATATTTTCTGTTGAGATCAAATCACTGCCTAGAAATAACTCATATTGTTTTTAAAAGAAGTTGTCGGGTAATTATTGATACGTTACTAACGAGGATTAAGATCTACATCTTCTGTGGTTGCTTGCACAGTTCATGTAAATTAGAAATGCAAAGGGCAGCCCCAGTGCAGACGTCAGCCCCGTGGGTGGGAGCTGGATCGCACAGGGCTGACTGTCGTTTAGTGTCTTGGAAAACACCAGCCGTGTGTGTAAGCATCCCCAAGTCCTGAGGGGATGGAGAGATGGAGGAAACAGAATTGCAGTGTGACTGCATCCCATTGTGGGTGCTCTCTCCCTCTCCCTCTCCCTCTCCCTCTCTCTCTCTCTCATGAGCACATACTCTCTGACAATTAAAAAAAAAGATCGGGGACCAGCAGGTGGCATGGTGATTAAGGTGCTGGACACTCTCACATGGCCGACCACAGTTTGAATCCTGGACCTGGTGGCTTGCTTTCTTTCATTCTCTTTCTCTCTCTGTGTCTCTCCCTGGTCAATTAAAATATAAATGAATGAATGAATAAATCAAATTAAAAATAAACAAGTATTTTAAAAATATGTGGATAAACTTGTATGGAAATGGGACAGTTAATTAGTGTCAATGACGCACACGTGCCAAGGAAGACTGGCCGGGTAGGACTGCCCTCTTCACTGTAGCAGAAACTGGGGAAAGGACGTGGCCACGAGGGTGGTGACACGGGCTGTGGTTGGGGTGAGCTGGGAGGACAGACTCAGGCTTCTGGGTTGAAGAAGGAAGACGATAGATTCTCAACAGAATTTCCCACCAGTGTTTTGAGGATTGAAGACTATCCCAAGACCAGATCCGGCACTCCGGACGGGCCAGCACGCTATGCGTTACACTGCAGTTCCGGGTATCTTAGCTCCGAGAGCTTCCTACACGGACCTAGCTCACGTGGCAGGCCGGGGGTGTGCGGAGGGTGCTGAGCAGGCTGCCTGTTGGCTGTGTTCCCCACAAGGCCAAGCAAGGTCTGGATGGACACCAGTCATCCTCACGCAGCCCAGATGAAGACAGCATCTGCCACGTGCCCCTGGGCAAGGGTTGCAGAGCAGGAGCTCTAAGTGTGTTGTTTCCACCACTACGTCGGTACATTCGAACGTGCTTGTTTCTCATTTCCAGAGGGTGCATGCACTCCCAGAGACAGAATAGTGAGAAGGCACCCTTTGGGGAGATGGCCATGCCTCAATCCCTTCTCTTCTGATACTCCATCCTGTAGGGGCTTGGGGCACCCATGCATAGCATCTAATGCGTTTTTCAAGCCACCAGGGCCAGGATTTGAACCATGGTCAAGTATGTGGAATTTGGCTTCCTTAACCTGGGTTACAGGCCAGCCTAAATTTCAATTTTTAATCATGCAAGTAATTGTTGAATCTCATTTCCTTTTTAAAAATTATCATTTTTCTGGGCCAACAGAAAAATGAGGTTAAGGCTCTGGATCCACAGAGCTGACTCCACATTTTGAGTCTGGAACCCAGAGCTTGAAACTCATGCCAGTTGTGAGTGTACATGCTCAAAACCCCAAGAGGAGAATGGAGAAGGGATTGTGGCATGGCCATCCCCCTGTGTGGTGGTTTCTCACCCCCACCCCTGTCAGTGCATGCTCCTTGTAGAAAAAAAAATTTAACAACAACAAAAAGTTGAATTTTTTTCATATAAAGCTTAAATCTTTTTAAATCGTCTTCCTCCCATTCTTGATCTTCTACCCCTTCCAAACAAGTAACTGCTATAATGTGTTATTCCAGGCCTTTTTTCTTTTTACTTTTTTTTTTTCTTTTTTTTTTTTTTTTGGAGGGGTTTTTGCTATAGGGCGCATGCCCTCGCCCGCGAGAGGCAGAGAGACAGAAGGCAAGAAATCACCCCCCACAGGGATGGCCACGCCGCAATCCCTTCTCTTCCGTTCTCCTCTCAGTATCTTGGGCACACATGCACACGCGCCCAGCATGAGTTTTAAGCCACCGGGTTCGGGACGTGAACCACGGTTGACTACGTGGGCCAGCGACATAGCCACTACGCTAACTGCTGGTCCCTTCTTTTTTTCTTTTTTCTTTTTCTTTTGGCTGTAGATCAAGTGCTCTCGCTGGAGAGAGAGGATGGAGTGGGAAGAAGCATCCCCAGGATCATTGTACTGTAGTCCCTTCTCCATTGTCCTCCCAGGATTCTGGGCACGCGTGCACACAGCATGTATTTCAAGCTGCTAGGTTTGGGAATTAAACTGCGCAGTTGGCCATGTGAGCTCCAGCTGCCTTGACCACCGTATCTCTGGTCGGCCCACTCCAGAACTTTTTTTTTTTTTTTTAATAATTCGCTATGGGGCATTTGCACCTGCTAGAGAGAGAGAAAAAGGGAAGGTGAGAAATCATCCCCCGGGGAGATGGCCAAGCTGCAGTCCTTTCTCCATTCTCCTTTCAGAAATTTGGGCATGCAGCTGACATATTTTCCAAGCTGCCAGATCTTGGACTCTAACCCATGCAGCTGATCATGTGGGATTCAGCTGCCTTAACCACTATGCCATCTGGTTGGTCCCCCTTCAGACCTTTGGAAAATTTTATTCTATTTTTTTAGACACGTACAAACACAGGTACCGTCAATAGCATTTCACCATGCTGTGATCCTCCTCTCAACCTCCCAGACAGTCAGACATGACCAGTATGTGCAGATTAGACCAGGATTCACACCAAGGCCTCCCATATGGCTCAGTACCATGCAGTGGCATCCTATCACCTGTGCCACCACAGCTGGGCCCAGGTCTTTTTATTTTTTAATAATTATTTATTTAATTGTATTTATTGTTATTATTATTTTTTAATTTGCTATAGGCATATGTGCTCACCAGAAGGATAGTGAGAGGGAAAGTGAGAAAACAAGCCACCAGGTCTGGGACATGGACCACAGATGAACATGTGGAAGTTCAATGCCCCAACTGCCACACCACCTGCTGGCCCCAAGGACCCAGATGTTTTTTAAAGATGCATATCTAGGGACCAGCAGTTAGTGTAATGGCTATGTCGCTGGACTCCCACATAGTCGACCACGGTTCACGTCCCGGACCCGGTGGCTTAAAACTCACGGCGGGCGCATGTGCGTGCGTGCCCAAGATCCCGAGAGGAGAATGGAGGAGAAGGGATTGCAGCGTGGCCATCCCCCCTGGGGGGTGATTTCTCACTTTCTGTCTCTCTCTGTCTGTCTGGTGAGTGCACGTGCCCTATAGTAAAAACCTCTCCCAAAAAAAAAGGAAAAAAAAAAAAGATGCACATCTATACACAAGCCCACAGGTCACCATAGCCAATCAGGCTATCTGCTACCTATGTAATACAGTGCTTGTTAAATAAAAGATACATCTTTTATTTATAGTTTGCTACATGTAGCTTCATTTCATTGCTTAGCTGCTACATGCTATTCCAGAGTAGAACTTTATCTTTTTCCACCCCTCTACTAGGGACATGTAGGACATCTCCATTTTTTTTTTTTTTTTTTTGGCAATTACAAACAGGTCACCATAAATGTCTCTGGACCTGTCCCCTTGAGTGCCCAGGGTGCTTCTCCAGGGCAGGCCTGGTGTGACTGATGGCAGCTGTGTTTATGGCTTAGTAGAGTGCGCTCAGGGCAACTCCAGAGCTACAAGTTTCAGGGGTATCTAGATCTTTCAGCAGCAGTGGCACAAGCAGGGCAGTGCTGCCCTGTGACGACTAAGGCTGTGCGGGAGGCCCAGGTTTGGTTCCCAGCACCACCTAATCAGGCTGGGCACAGTGGTGTGCACTGTGGTCCTAACTGACCAGGAGGCTGGGCCAGGAAGGTTCATGAAGTGGCGAGGCTGTCAGAAATACCTGTTTCTCTCTCTCCTTTCCATGTGTGTGCTCTCATATTAAAAAAATTAAAATGTTAAATGTTTCATCAAATTATAGATAAACATACGCATTGGGAAAACAATCGTGTAGTTTTTCTTTTTCTTTTTTTTTTTTTAGCCACCTGCTGGCCCAAGGACCCAGATGTTTTTTAAAGATGCACATCTAGGGACCAGCAGTTAGTGTAATGGCTATGTCGCTGGACTCCCACATAGTCGACCACGGTTCACTTCCCGGACCCGGTGGCTTAAAACTCACG